AACCGGGAGAAGCAGCACCGTACAAGAAATAAACAGAACTTAGCTCGTTTATACTGACGAAATCGACAATCCCTTCAGCTATGATTACAAGTATTTATACGAGGAATCGTCAATATCTGTTCAAATAGCAACATTGCGAAGAATTTTTAAATATTTCTGCTACCTTTTCTCCGCTTACACTTATCGATGTTTTGTCAAGAGTGTTCGATTAGAATTCAATGAAAGACAGAAAACAATAGTGAGCATATGGTTATCAGATTACTCATTACCTTGGTGGAACTTAAAAAAGTCATCCAAGGCCTGGCAGTAAGTTTAATAAAATTAAAGTCTTCTTTGACTGATTTATCCCGAGGTCTTTCGATGCTTTCCCATAGCAACGCCCCGCATTTATAGTAAATGAGAAAAACAGTATGCATGTGGGCTAAAAGACATTATAAGTACAATTCTCCGTAAACCGTGGACTTTCAGTAGGGCGTGACTTTCTAGACACTGTGTAATTAGCGTCTCTCAAATGGTGAATAGATTCTCATTGGTTAAGAAATTAATAACATCAACAACTTTAAATTGGTGTTGACAACGATGAGACAACTTAAGCCCCACCTCTTTACCGCACGAAACGCTATCATTGGGTCATTGCTACACTCGTTGACATTCGCCCAAATGTATATTTCAACAGTGAATAAAAGGCTGTGTAAATTTCAGACGCTAATTAGGTGACGTCGAGAATAACACGCCTTACTGGAAGTCCAAGGTTAACTAAGAATTGTACTGCCTATTTCTGACCTTAATCTTCAACCAAAATACGCCGATTTCTAAAATCATATTCCTCCAGTAAGTACCCACATAAAATTATCATAAGGCAGAGATGACACAATGCATTTTAATATCTTTTTTACTGATCGATCGTAGACCGAGTGCCCCTCTGTATTACATGACGACTTTCTCCAATCAATGTCCAAATGTGTTCAGAAAAAATTCATCTCTGTACGTTAAAAAATTGGATGTCATTAATTTGACCAAATATCCCAAAGATTACCAGTGTCAATCTATACCTTGAACATATGGTCCTAAGCTTAAGAGTTGATGAATAGACAAACGGACAGCAATACTGAATTACATGGCAGTTGATTCTCTGTGATAATTTTATTTCTATGAATGACATAAAAAGAATCCTTAAAACGTAACCTGATAAATTCTGCTTGAATAGATATAGGTAAAAAAGAATTACATAATAATTTGTACATAGTATATACCATAGGTTCACAGAATTATGCTATGTGCAGACTTTAAAGTATTATGGAAAAAAAAATTCGGATAAAACCTACTGAGGGGGTAAGCAGTATAACCCACCACCCCTCTGACGTCGATATTATCTAAGTTCATGCCCCCGTGTATGTATGGATTAGAATTCACGCGTGTTGTATGTAAATATATCTCTATATTGAAGGCCCTGGTCAAAGCAAAAGTGAGAAGAGTCTTTGGTTTTTGTTTGATATGTAATTAATACCCCAAGGTTTCCCAGCCCTGGTTACTGGCCGTCGTTTGTTATTCTAAAAAGGGTGTTTACAGTGCGATAGACAAGAGATACAAAGTTCTCCCAATCTCTTCATCTATTTCCAAGTTCATTAAACCCTGTTATATTACAAACAATACAGTGATGGTGATTGCTGACCCAGACTGAACTGTGCATGCAGGCGCATATTCCGGCCAACTTAATCATAAATAATGCTGCCCATTGCATATCGTCAACACAACAGCAGCAAAACAAACGCACCCAACATATATCGTAGACAAGGCGAGGTTCGGTGATCCATCTATCGTAGATTACCCGATATACTAATGCAAGAAGCTGAGGGAAGCATTGAAAGTTTTCAGTTCAAGAAAACTATTTTTACTTAACATAACAATTGACAAAGTGTTACCATTTATTTGTCCTTATTTTGTTACCTTCTGAAAAGTTTCGCGGGCTCATCATTGACAGAATTAAGCGACATGGATATATGGATAATACCAGCCCCATGAAATTTATATTTTATTTATTTATTTATTTGTGTATAATGTATAATACACGCAGAAATGGATATCCCACTACAGAATCCATTGTCTTATAAATGGACTGAATTTTCATTGAAGGAAATCAATCTTTACTACATGTATCTTTATCAATAATCATGAGATTATTTAACAAAAGACAAACTTAATTAATTTAACTGAAATTAAAATTCAAATATTTTGTTTCGCAAAACTCGATACTTTGCGCGTGCGTGTTTGAAGCGCCGTTCGGGCGCTGTGTTTGGTTTAACTTACTGGCCAGCCTATATTGATAAATTAATGCCATTCCATATACCTTTGTTTGCTACGTTTTTACACCTTTTGCTTAATCTCACCGATATTTCTTGCCTTTTTATAATCATTGATGGTGGGCCAAACCAAAAATCATTAAAAGTGCATTTGGACAGGTGTGAGTAGTTGTAAGACCTGAGATGTGAGTAGTTGTCAGACATGCCGGTGACGGCACGGCGTAACACGCAGACGACAGGTTACATCTATTGTCACAACTGCATTAACACGTAGTTTGCACTTTTTGTGTCACCTACGAACCGAAAAACCCTGTCCTCTTGAGAAGGTGAGGAACGGGCTTCCGTTTTATGGTTTTGACAATCTTGTCTCAGTAACAGATCAGAAAAACTCCATTTGTTCTTGGCGTGTTTATATTTTTGCATAACAAGAGAATTACAAAACAATTAGTGAAGGAAATAATTTCTTTCTCTGTATAAAATTTACTCTAGTTTAATAAACACAGCGCTAGACTAAGCTTTCATCATTGTGGTATACGTCAGAGAAGGCGGGATCTTTTAGTGATCCCCGACAAGGCCCAATTCCCCCACGGATAAACCGCTAATCCACTGGCGCTAAAACTCATTATCCAATGCGCCATATAACAGACAAATCTCCGAGAAGAAAATGAACTTTTACGAAATTATCATTTCCTTCATGCTTAAACGGCTTCTTTCAAATTAAGTATATCTGCTACAAGACTTTCTTTAAAGTTCAAAATTTAATTCCGGGAATTACTTGTCAGACAGATAGGCCGAAAGTCGAAAAGTGAATCATTATTAATGTGTGTAACAGATAAAGAAACCGCGGAGAATCCGGATAAAGAATCCGAGGAGGTTTGGTGTGTTTCCGCCTTCGGGTCGTTGAAATCAATAAAGTAATTTATGTCAGATATACTTCTGTGTAATGAAAAAAAAAATAACTGAGGGTTACCTAAGCATTATGGTACTTCCCTGAAATTTTATGTTCAATACCCGTAGCAAGAAAAAAATCTTAAATGTTTCTATGTTATCTTGCAGACCTTAAGTTATGCATTCTAATCATTACATTTTTTTCAAAGTAATGTTTAACGAACACATGCATATCCGTATACCAAGACCTTTGGTTTGGTACAAACATTTCTTTTTGTTGCCTTTTTGGGACTTTGACCTACTTTTGAAATATTTAACACTGATCATTACTTCTTAATTAGGATGTGAGGGTTTTCGAATTTCACATCTATTAACCTACTTACCTTGAACTAGCTTTGACATATTTTTTAGAAATCTTTAACTTTGGACATATTTTTTTAAAGTTACCAGTCAGTAGGCTAGCTTTCAATTTCAAGATGTTCCTTGTGAAAGACATTTCCTTGGGTACCTTTTTTTTATCTCTTGACCTTAACTTTTAGATTTGGCTTATATTTGAAAAATTTCAGTCTTGGTTAATGAATATCAGAAAAGTTTAGGTCACAGGCAGAAAATATTTCATTCTAGAAATAAAAATGCTGCTTGTTTCCTTCATGATAATATAACTGCGATATTGAAGATCGGGGGAGGGGATGTTGTTAATCAATGTTTTTATCCTCTCTCAAAATCTATCTTTCTGTCAGAGATTTATTGTCACTATCAGTTTGTTCTGTCATAAACTTTAACCCTCCTTATAACTTCTCAAGAATACAAATTAACGACTGTCGATTATATTATCGAAGCCTTAATTATGTCTACGTCTAGCTTTTGTACATACAAGGACCTTATGTAGCCTTGTCAGTTCCTAGTGCTATAGATCCCATCAAGAATTCAGGCAAAATATTTAAACAATAAATTATGGCACGCCAAACTCACAAAACTGAGCTAAACATAGTTTCACAAATGATAAACTAGGTTTATCGACTGTAAACTATAGTTTACAAACCGTAAACTATAGCTAACGATTCGTTAAGTATAGTTTTCATCTGTAAAACTATATTTAACGGTTGTTAACTATAGTTTACGAATGCTAATCTAAGTTTATCTGTCTGTAATAAAACGTTAACAATAGATTTTGTTGTTAAATATAGATTCACATCTGTAAACTATAATTTACGATCGTTAACTATAGTTAAGAGTTGTAAACCATAGTTTACAATCGTGAAACTGTATTTATCAGATAATCTATGTTTTGCAATCGAAAATGATTGTTTTCGGTGTTAAGTATAGTTTACGGTTGTGAAACATAGATTATCGCCTTAACTATGGTTTACAGATGTAAAATATAGATTAACGTTGTTAACTGTAGTTTACAGTCCGTAAACTATAGTTTTCAAGCGATAAACCTAGTTTATCGACTGTGAAACTATGTTTTGCTCATTTTTGTGAATTTGGCGTGCCACAATAAATGCTTGATTTGATTTCTGATAGATATACTGAAATTTTGTGAAAACATTAACTTCAAATTTGTGTCCATGCACTAAAAGCACCGTATTAATGTTTAAGTTTTTGCAGACAGACAAGCGGCTAGACAGACAGACGGACAAGGCAAAACTAAATGCCCCTGAATCTTCGATTACGGGTCATAATTAACTGTGAATCAAACAAAATTTTGTCGTATAAATTTCACATTTTGACGCAGTAACATGAAAGGTGAGCCAAAATGTTAAAAACATCGGGTTCGGGATTACATTTCGTGAAGTTGGTCAGATTTGGTAACTCGTTAACTGTTTAAGTGTTTTCTAGAAGAAAACAAATATGTCTGGTACATTTTACTGTAGATCCTTACTCCGCAGAGTATGTTTTAACTGCAAAAATCATCTACAACAACAGACAAAGCACATGCATTCGGATGCCGGAGATCCTAGGTTAGTACATCTCGTATGTTCGGTCAGATTGGTCCCATTAAACCTGTTGATGAACCCGTGAAGAATGTTTTATTTCATTGTACATTGGTGTATGTTGCTATAAATATGTTATTTCAGCAAAGAATAATCCCTGATTTAGAGTAAATAGTTTACATATTATATTGGAATTAGCTCCTCAAAAATACGGTCATTTTCATGATTTTGCATGTTTTATTAGCTCACCTGAGGCTGAGAGGAGGGAGTGAGCTTTTCTGATAAAAATTTGTCTGTCGTTGTTGTTGCGGTTACCTTTGTTAGCTTATTTACATTTTTATCTTTTTTTCCAGAACCACTGGGTCAATGTCAATCAAACTTGGCACAGGGTATCCTTGGGATTTGTTCAAATGAAGGACCACATCCTCTTCTAAGGGGAGATAATTAAAGATAAAGTTAAAAAAAATTGGACGGGGTCATTTGAAATATATCTTCTTAAGAACCATTTGACCAAAAAAAAATTGAAATTTATGTGAAAGCTTCCTAACAAATTTGATTTTCTTCATATCCCGACCCCTCAAGATAGGATGGAGCCACTATTGGTAATCAAGGTTTTACATTTGTATAAACTTGTAAAAGTCTTTTAAAAATCTTCTTTTTTAGAATAGCAAAGGCATGACCAGTCATACGGATGTGGAAGCATCCTCAGATTTGTAGATTTAAATTTGTACAAATAGACCCCGAAGAGGGTTGAGCTTTTATGAATGAGCAAAGTTTTACTTGGATATTACAAAGAACCTTAACAAAATATTTTTCTCAAGAATAGCTGAGCTATGATTAATCTTATTTACCGGTACATAGAACTATTCTTAAAAAGTTGAGATTCAAATTTGCTCAAATCTAAATCATCTGAGGTTGTGGTGGAGCTACAATGAGGTCAAAGTTTTCCTAAATAAAACAGAGGAGAAATTTAATGAAAATGTTCTGATGAAGAACAGCAAATCATGATCAATCATATTTATAAGTCTTAACATCAGATTCCACAGATAGTTAGATTCAAGTTTGTTAAATCATGACTTCTGGGAGAAGGGTGGGGCAATTAAAGTAATTTACATAGAAATAAACATGATAAATAGGAAAGATATGTAAAAATCTCCTTCTCAAGAACAGACTAGAGGTACTGTGAGCAATGAGCTCACTAAATGATACCCCCCGCCTCCCATATGGTTATAACTGATGACAAAGTCCATGTTTTACTGTGGTCGGGAAACCCAAAATATGTGTCGGATCAAAAAGTAAAATAGGAGGTGCACAATGGCAATATGTAATAAAGATTCTGTGAAAGTTTCATTAAATTTCACTCAATGGTTTAAGAGGAGTTGCGGATAAGAGATGGGTACCCTAAAGCGTAACAGACGGACGGACGGACGGACGTACAGACGGACGGACAGACAGACGGACAGACGGAATTAACGATTACTATATACCCTCCCGCTTTTCAAGCGGGGGGTATAAAAAGCTATGATCAGTCATATTTAAAAGGAAACTTCCACAGTACATGTAGTATATATTCAGGTTTGTTCAAACTGTGACCCCAGGGGTAGGTGGTGGGGACAACAAACCAAATTTTTACATAAGAATACATGTACATAAAAAAAATATTTTCTCAGGTACAGTAAAAATATGATCAATTATATTTTCTCAGAAGCATTATAAGATAGTGTAGATTCAGTTTGTTCAAATCATGAACACAAAGGGCTATAGTTACTCAGGTGAGCATTATGGTCCATAGACTTTTTGTGCTTTCACTGACTATTACTCTATATTAAATTTGTAAAACAAGATAATATTTTGATGCAGAGCAGCAAATTGTCTGCAAACATTCCACATACAGTCATTTTGTCTTTTACACTTGTAGCATATTCAATACAAAATAAGTAGCAATATTTCTGCAATTTTAATAAATACTCAAACCCAGTAATTTTCCAGAAACTTGGTATCATGTCAAGTTGCTTTTTATACCACCCGCTTGAAAAGTGGGAGGGTATATAGTAATCGGGATTTCTGTCTGTACGTCCATCCGTCTGTCCGTCCGTCCGTCTGTTACGCTTTATCTCTTATCTGCAACTCCTCTTATACTACTGAGTGAAATTTAATGAAACTTTCACAGAATCTTTATTACATATTGCCATTGTGCACCTCCTATTTTACTTTTTTATTCGACACATATTTTAGGTTTCCAATAGCAAAACATGGACAATTCCATTATATGTTTACCTATGACGTCACATATAGAAGCTTCTGGATAACATTTGATAGGACGAGTTATTCCTCTTTACACATTACTGTAAAACAATATATAGCAACACATGGACATTATGGGAGGCGGGGGGTATCATTTAGTGAGCTCATTGCTCACAGTACCTCTAGTTTTTTTTACATTATACAATCCCATTCTGGGGAGCACCTCTTGTAAGCTTTTTTTGTAAAATTATTGATTTGATATTTCCCTCACACTCACTATGCATGTATCTGTTTACTCTGGACTGGCAGAGAGTTTTCCACAATACATAATATAGTAAATTTTAATTGTTATTTAGTAGTTTGATTTATGTAAACCAATGAAGTAAGTATAACTTTAAGCATCTACATATAATTACATGTATATGAAATTTTATTTTAATGGTAAATGTTTTTATTTTGACAGGATTTATTCACTTATTCGACAAGGGAACACAATGTTCTTTGATGAACAGAGGCGAAGGTAAGATTATTGATCGATGTAGAATTAACTCATAGAACTGAGTTATAGAAAAGTTCTCATTCTTTTATTCTGTAATTTTTTTCTGAAGCAATGAAGAATATGATTTTTAAAACAGGAGTCGTATTTTCTAAGGAGAAAGATTCTCAAATCTGGCTCTAATTTTGAGATTTCAGAATAAAAAAAAAATTGTATTCTGTGTAACAGATTATGATTTTTATATGAATATTGAGCTGTTTTCTTTTAAGCCTTACTCAGTATCTTTGTTATTGTAGGTAACTATATTTTGACATTTAATTGATCTGCTTTATATATTTAGTGGGATTTTATCACACAAAATTACAGTGAATGGTGCACGAATTCATTTTGAAACAAGTGGAAGTGGACCTCACACTATCCTTTTGTTACCAGGAGCTCTCGGTAAGTTTAAGGGAGTCTTGTATGTGGCATTTAGCTTGAGACCTAGAATTTCGAGCTGTGCTGGTCAGAGACCAAAAGAGCTTATGCAACAGCATGACTGCGTCCATCAATTGTCCATCTGTATGTCCTACTGTTTGTTTGTCTGTCTGTAAGCAAATTTTTAAAGTCCTACTACTCTCAGTGTTTTGGTCCAATTTCAGAATAGTTGACAGACAGCATATTTTGTTGCTTTTGTTAGCATGATAAGAAAGACAACTCTTGATTCATTGCTAATAGTTTTCTTTTAGATCTCAATCCAGAATTAAATCTTTATATAAAAGTATTAAATACATTTATCTGAAATAAATTTATATTGAGTTGACCTATTTCAGGATCTACCAGGACAGACTTTTCTAAGCAGCTGACAGACTTTAACAAGAAGGACTACACGCTGATAGCCTTTGACCCCCGGGGGTACGGTAAAAGTATCCCTCCTCAGCGTACCTGGCCCCTGGAGTTCTTACAGCGGGACGCTGATGATGCCAATGGGCTGTGTATGGTAAAGTTCACCTGAATAGAAAAGAATATATTACTGAAGGGTTTTCAAACTGTGTGCAGTTAATCCTGTAGCAGTCCTCAATGATTAAAAAGGGAGGGGGGGGGTGAAGACTTTAACCCCTTACATGGCATATACGCCTTTCTACGCCTCTGACTTGAAAAACGAGAGTAGTGTGAAAAAACATTCATAACTACCTTAATTCTGCAAATATCAGAATAAATCTTACCCCGTTGGAAAGAGAAAATAATTACGATAAAATATTATGCAGAATGTTTTTTTATTGGTTGTACCAGTCTTTTGTTAGCTTTGGTTAAACTTTGCGCACAATTTATGCGATTTTGCCATTATCGAAATCAATGCAGGTGTAGCACGTTCTATGTAAAAATGCTGAATTCTGGTGATTACCTCCCAACCCCAACCCAATCCACCAAAATACTTAAAGTTGGTTAGTAAAAAAAAATGTACAACATGCTCATAATTTTCAACACATCAATAAAATATTTTTTAATACATTTAACAAAAAAAAAAAAAGAATGAATGAAATTCATTCTTGAATAAATGGAAATTCCAGTATGATCATGGTGTATTTCGTTGCCATGGAAACTGAAATGATATTTTTATAATCATTTTCAGAAACTACACAATACCTGCTTTTTGAATATATATACATTGGTATATACAAAAATTGCAAGAAATACTAAAAAAATGCATTGAAATCTTAATATCAATCTGTCTAGAAATGCTTAAAATCTTTGCCATGGAAGGGGTTTTAAGAGAACTTATTATTACATTACTGTGGAAGTACTTTTTTCTGCCTGGTATTAATTTACACTATGTATGCATACTTAAAGTTTATACTAATGCAATCAAAGACATTTGCATAATTTTATACATGTGGATTCGACTAAATTTGTGAATCAATCAATTTTTAGGTCACCTGAGTAAACTCAGGTGACCTATTGCCATCTGTTTTCGTCCGTCGTCGTGCGTCGTGCGTCGTCCGTTAACATTTGAACATTTTCAGCTTCTTCTCTGCAACCACTGAACCAATTTCAACCAAATTTGGCACAAAGCATCTATGGGTGAAGGGGAACAAAAATTGTGAATTTCATGGTCCCTGCCCCCCTGGGGCCTGGGGGGTGGGGCAAAAACCACTAAAATTAATGAAATCTTTAAAAATCTTCTTCTTTACTCCTGGACATCAAGCAGTTAAACTGTTTGCATGATTGTAATCAGCATTGAGTCCTCTACCAAAATTGTGAAATTTATGGCCCCGGGGTCAGGGGTTCTAGTGCTAGGGTGGGGCTAAATAAGTATATAGTGAAAATGCATTAATTCTTTGAAAATCTTCTTCTCTGCTCCTGGGTATTACATAAACTAACTAAGTGCATAGTTATGATGAGCAAGAGTGCCTCTACCAAAATTGTGAATTTTATGGCCCCAGGGTCAGGGGTTCTAGTGTTAGGGCGGGGCTCTATAGATTATATAGTGAAAATGCATTATTTCTTTGAAAATCTTCTTCTCTGCTCCTGAGTATTAAATAAACTAACTAAGTGCATAGTTATGATGAGCAAGAGTGCCTCTACCAAAATTGTGAAATTTATGGCCCTAGGGTCAGGGGTTCTAGTGTTAGGGCGGGGCTCTATAGATTATATAGTGAAAATTCATTAATTCTTTGAAAATCTTCTTCTCTGCTCCTGGGTATTAGATAAACTAACTAAGTGCATAGTTATGATGAGCAAGAGTGCCTCTACCAAAATTGTGAATTTTATGGCCCTAGGGTCAGGGGTTCTAGTGTTAGGGCGGGGCTCTATAGATTATATAGTGAAAATGCATTATTTCTTTGAAAATCTTCTTCTCTGCTCCTGGGTATTAAATAAACTAACTAAGTACATAGTTATGATGAGCAAGAGTGCCTCTACCAAAATTGTGAATTTTATGGGTCTAGGGTCAGGGGTTCTAGTGTTAGGGCGGGGCTCTATAGATTATATAGTGAAAATGCATTATTTCTTTGAAAATCTTCTTCTCTGCTCCTGGGTATTAAATAAACTAACTAAGTGCATAGTTATGATGAGCAAGAGTGCCTCTACCAAAATTGTGAATTTTATGGCCCTAGGGTCAGGGGTTCTAGTGTTAGGGCGGGGCTCTATAGATTATATAGTGAAAATTCATCAATTCTTTGAAAATCTTCTTCTCTGCTCCTGGGTATTAAATAAACTAACTAAGTGCATAGATATGATATGCAATAGTGCCTCTACCAAAAATGTGAAATTAATGGCCCCAGGGTCAGGGGTTCTAGTGTTAGGGTGGGGCTCTATTGATTATATAATGGAAATACATGAATTCTTTCTTTTCTGCTCCTAGGAATTAAACTAAGTACATAGTTATGATGAGCAAGAAAACCTCTTCCAAAATTTTGATTTTATAGCCCTAGGGTCAGGGGTTCTAGTGATAGGGTGGGGCTCTATTGATTATATAGTGAAAATACATTAAATATTTGAAAATTTTCTTCTCTGCTCTTGGGTATTAAGCAGATAAACTACCTATGTAGTTATGATGAGCAAGGACCCTTATCTTCCAGAATTGTGAATTTCAAGGCCCCAGGGTCAGGGGTACCATAGGGGGGGGGGTTGAACTTATATACTGAAACTGGCTGAAATGTTCGAGATCTGCTCCTTGGTATTAATCGAATATTTTTGAAAAGCAAGGGTGCCTTTTCAAAAATTGTGCAATGTGTGGATCTAGGCCTAAGGGTCAGAGGTTCATGTGTGATAGGGGCATTACTGATTATTGCTGAATATTACTAATTACTTGAAATGCATTTTTGGTTCCCACACCCTGCCTATGGGTATTAAGTAAACAAACTAAGCAACTGTTAAGTGTATTGTTATGATGATCAAATGGTGCCTCTTTCAAAATTGTGAAAGCCATAGCATCTTGCTTAAAACATTAATCAAATTAAATCGCAGTAAAGTTGTTGCATAATGCTCAGGTGACCTATAAGGCCCATGGGCCTCTTGTTTAATAAGAAGAAAAGTATGTTTACAGTACCAGGTAAACAACATATATTTATACATTCATGAGTTTCTAAATGCATTGCTGTTGTAGAAACTAGGACTGAAGTCAGTGTCAGTGATGGGCTGGAGTGATGGGGGAATCACGGGGATGATTCTGGCCGCCCAGAATACCTCCCTCGTAAAAAACCTCATCATCTGGGGGGCCAACGCTTATGTCACGGAGCAGGACATGCTGATCTTTAACAGTTAAGTCATTTGTTATTATAAAGAACTTATCAGTGTTCATACTCTTGTCATCTAATCCTGAAAACAACGAAAGGAGAAGACTGCATTTATGTGTGGTTAATTTAACACAGAAAAAAGAACATTGCGTTACATGTGTATACGTAAAGAAATAAAAACTTTTATTACATTTTCAAAGGTGAAATAAGGAATATGTTTACTGAGTAAAAATAAGAAATTTTTTCTGACTTTGTTAATTGGAGGGTTTGTATATTTTTTAAGTTAACTAGTTACCTGGGTGCTGTTTGACAGCGCTCATTTACTGAGTATATGCCTGTGTCAGTTGGAGCATATTAGACCAGTGCTGTTCTTTTACAATTATGATGCTCCTCCTTGCTATTGTGACTTTAACTGTGAGTGATTTTCAGGTATTCGGGACATTAATACCTGGAGTGAAGGCATGCGAACTCCGTTTATGGCTCTTTATGGAGAGAAATATTTCCGTGAGCAATGGTCCAATTGGGTGGATGCCTACCAGGCTTATTATGACAAGAGAAATGGTGAGAAGCTGAATTTGTGGAGCCTTTACAAACTTCTTAGGACAAAAATGTTTTAATTGTTTATTATATTTTCTAAACTAGTATTGTTATTTTACCAGGAGATATATGCAAAGATGATTTAAAGAAAATAAGAGCAAGAACACTCATTATACACGGAATCAAAGACCCTCTTGTACCATTAGAACACCCTGACTACCTTCATCATAACATCAAAGGATCAAGGTACGTAGACTTCATCATAACATCAAAGGATCCAGGTAGGTAGATTTCATCATAACATCAAAGGATCAAGGTACGTAGACTTCATCATAACATCAAAGGATCAAGGTACATAGACTTCATCATAACATCAAAGGATCAAGGTACGTAGACATAACATCAAAGGATCCAAGTAGGTAGATTTCATCATAACATCAAAGGATCAAAGTAGGTAGAAAGAATGACCATATTACTTTCATCAAAGGATCAAAGTAGGTAGGTTAGAAGAATTTCTCTTGATAATCCACCCCAGCCCACCGCTGCCCTCTATTAATGTCAGAATAGCACATACATCAGTTGCACACATGTTAATCTTTAAATAATTTTGTCTGAATTTTTTTTTACCTACAGTGTACTTCCATTCTGATACTTATACTGTATTGTAGATGTATTTTTGTAGACTGTACATGCTACCGGAGGGGAAACATAACCTTCACATTCGTTACCATAGAGAATTCAACTTCCTGGTGGAGAACTTTCTGAAGCAATCACAGATGCAAAGTTCACTGTTAAAAAAACATGGTTCAGCGTAGAGGTTAAATCACAAAAAGGAAAGAATTTATCTTCTTGATTGTGAACAGTTGTGTCCATCAGTAAACTGATTTTTATCTGTAATTTTTCCAAAGTTTTTAGACATCATACAAGTATGGAGTGAGCAGTATCATTTTGTGAGCTCATTTTGTTTGTGTCTGTATTTGGATTCGGATCTGTTAAAATTTTTTGTCTTTTGTATTATCAGTATTTTAAAGGTACTAAGCAGTCATATTTATTGTAGAAATTAAATATGTGCTTATATACTTTTAAAAGGGGAGAGGGACTGTTGTCATGTTTTCATCATTCACTGTTTAAAAACAGTCTGCATTTGGATATGTGTACATATATATGTATACAGACTTTTCAGATCAAATGTGGATAAGTATTTATATATATTATACCGGTATGTATACAAACTTGATCAAATATGGATACTTATTTATAGAGAGTCATAAAAAAACTTTGTTTCATATCATCATTTTAGCAAATTATAAAAATCTCTAAGCAAACTTACTGTAAAGTAAGATTCATTATTTTGTTATTTATTCGCATTCATTGTTACATGTATAGAAAAAGTTTTTTAAGCCTAATTTTGCTTAGCAGTTCATTACTATATGTCATATTTAAGTTTAATCACATATATAAGAAAAGTAATTGATAATATTGGCTATTTGTAATGATTTTACTTAAGAGACTATAGCAGGTAGTAAAGACTAAATATATGTTGTGTGATTTATGCCTTGCTGAGAAGTGAATTTGTATTCAGTCATCTCTTGTTGTGTGCAGTTTTACTGCTTATTACAATTGTACATTCATACCTTGCCATGAAGTCACTAATTCTGAACTGATACAGTGCCATTGTTATAACTTTCTGGTTTGCAGTTCTATTGTATTGTTTTTAGGTAGCTATCTTCCAATGTTGTAACTACCTGGTTTGCAGTTATACTGTATTGTTTTTAGGTAGCTATCTTTCAGTGTTATAACTTTATGGTTTGCAGTTATAATATATTGTATTGTTTTGTGGTAGCTATCTGCCAATTGTTATAACTTTATGGTTTGGAGTTTTGCTGCTTTTAATATTTTCATTTATGCAATAAATGGGAGGGTCCATTTTAAAAGCCCTATTTGTTAATACAAAAAGAGATCATATCTTTATTTGTTTACCTTTGCATTATACATGTAAGAATTAAAAAAAAAATGCAATGTTTACAAATCTACGCACATATGTATAATCACAAGCAGTTTTTCTTCTAAGTTGACTTTCATTTACTTTCATACTTTGTTTTGTTTAACCTACTTTGGTTCATTCTCATGTCTAACCATGCAACGTAATACCGTGGTATGCTTGCCTATAAATTGTCCTCTTATCAGTTGTTTTTTATTTTTTTCATATTCTTCGCAAATAATCTGCTTATAATTTAGTATGATTTTTTGCCATAATCTGTCACTATAGCTAGTCTAATTTCTGGACAGTAATCTACTGTATTTTCATGTTTTTCAAGTACGCTTTGGGGTATGACTTGATAATTGAAGACCTTCCTTACATGTATTAGATTAAGTTATGCATTTATACACTGTTGGAGTTGGAGTATCAGGAACTCAGTGGGGTCAAGAAAATTTTGACTTATCCAAGAGAGGAAGGGGGGGGGGGTTAAAATACTTCAAAAATCAGTGGTTGGGATTTTCAAAATCACTTTGACATTTCCACAGTATTTGAAATGTTAGTGTTTGAGATGTTGTGATGATTTTGAGATTTATAGAAGGTTTGACTGTATTTATGCAGAGCTTGTTTTTTGAAAGCTTGTAAAGATGTTATTACATGTATAATATTTAATGTAATAGAATAAATATGTAAATGTTTTCAAAGGCAGGTATTGTCAGTTTAATAGCCCTTCATATCCGGTGTATATATCTTTGTTTAACTAATTAAAATCAAAATCCAGGGAATGCCAATTTGTTTCTTTTTTACTGAGAGAGGGCCCTAAGACCTCTTTTCTTATACTAGTATTTATTATATGTACCCTATGTATCCCACAATGATTAATATGGTTTGGTTGGAATTGGGTTTGAGTGGGTTGTCAAATCAAAAATGGTTTTAAGCTAAATTTCAACAGAGATTTTTTTTTCCTTTCTCAAACATCCTTGGGTAAATTTTGGTACTCTTGAGATGGAATAAGATGTAATGGGTGGGGTAAGTAATAAAAGTGTAGTAAGTAGTTCTAGGCCATAACAGACCAAAACTGTGTTTGAGCATAAGGACAAATCTGTCACCGTAATTCATTGGCAGAATCAATAGGATTATGTACTTGTCATAATGATATACAGCACAAAACACGACAATTTGAGGGCTCAGAATATTAAAATTAAGTTGTTTTTTCTCTGACTGCCCCCTTTCAAAAAGGAGTATTATGCGACTAAAGGCACAATGCAGGCACCTGAAGAGTGGATACCCCACGGACGCCTTCCATCTCAATACATAGAGAATAATACATACCCTTTTCCATATCACATCCTTTATCAGCCCGAGACACCAATATCAGCCAGAGGGCCGAAGGCCCGAGGGTTGATATTGGTCGAGGGCTGATACAGGATGTGATGTGGAAAAGGGTATGTATTAATATGTTTATTACATACTTAGTAATAAAATACAGCATACATTAAGTTGAGAAGAAAATAAGTAAATAATCATGCATGGACTTCTTACATACATGTACATGGTCTATTGTCTCATACGATTTGGGTTTGTTTCTACTTCTATTTCAATGCACTAGATCCGTAATTTGACATTAATCTATTACAAGTATTTGTAAATTAAGATTAACCTTATTTTCAAAAAGTTAAAATTAAGAGAATATGAACCCACCAAAAATTGTGTATGATCACAAGTACTGTTTTTGTGGATTAATTTACCAAGGGTGTGATATTTGACGTCACAATAGCCGTATCAGCCCTGCAGGGCTGATGTGGATTTGCGGGGCTGATATAGGTTATCAGCCCTGCAGGGCTGATACGGCTATTGTGACGTCAGCCATATCGCATATGCAAAAAACCTGTATTTATTACTAAGTGTGTATAATAAAAACAAATATTAAGAATATCAGATTTCCACGACAACCAAATCCATAATTCGCTTTATTCAAACAGATTGTACTTTCCTATTTAAGTTTAGTATTTCATTATACCGTACATGTACATGTACAAATTAAATGTGAAAAAAATCCATTCCGCTTGTTTAAAGAATAGCATATATGGATGTGAGTGATGGGGATATATTATATTTGTAATTGAGAAAATACAATATCATTTATTTTATTACACATACGAAAGCCCATTGAGCTATTTTCGTGAGTAATAAAAAACGCAAGACTTTCACAAGAAAAAGTAAATTAATTCTAACTGTTCTTTTTCGCTAATAACTGCAAAACTTTTCCGGTATAAAGTACATGTATATATAGCTCGAAAATTTAGAGGCGTTATTTATTCGCGAAAATTTTGCGTTATAACACGGAAAATATTATTTACCGACAAAAATGAGCTCATTTGGCTTTTGTATGCACAGTTTATCTGATTTAGGTATACTGTTTTTCAAGCACAGTTTCTTGATTCATCATCTAGTATAGACAAATACTGTGGCTGCTATAGGACATATTCGTTCCCATGAAATTCAATTCGTTCCATCGTAAACAAATTTCGTTCCAACGAAATTAAATTCTTTCCCACAAAATAAAAATTCCTTCTCACGAAATAAAAAAAAAAGAATCGTTCCCATCATGGCATGAAATTTAAATAGTTCCCACGAAATAAAATTCTTCAAATGAACTATATGAAATGCTAAAAATATCTGATAGAATGTTTTATCTCCATTTGCAATTATCAATGACATTAATTAACAACTAAAAAAAATATTATAGATATAATTTTTTTGAAGCTCCCTCCGATTTGTTTCGTTTATTTTATAATAATACAAATACTTTAAAGGCTCAAACACAATTACATCTATATGTCGTTATATGCAAGCAGATTGTACCTTTTCTCACGTTTAAAGAATGGCCCTATTCGGTATAATAAAAGTAGGGCCATTCTTTAAACGTGGGAAAAAGTACAATCTGCTTGCATATAACGACATATAGATTTTGTTTGATGGGGAAATTTTACATATTTGAGATATTTTACACTCTTACATTTTTTTATTAACAAAAGGGGGGGGGGGGTATTATCCATACTTCAGGTGCCTGTGGTAGAATATCCAAATATGAAATAGATGTGTCAGATTCTGTGGTATCTTTTATCTCAAGCTCACCGGGATATATCGTATCGACATAATAATGGAAATAACTGTAATATTGACAATATGTCGTCGATGTATCTAAATGTTATGGTGGCATATTTCTGCCCCTTGTGTGCAAGTTATTTTTCTATCAAATATGTCGACATGCAAGATAAATATGTTGACATGCAAGATAGTTATGTCAACATGCAACATAAATATGTTGACATGCAAGAAAAATGCAATCAAATAAATATTATGAAAAATCTCAAATATCGCCCACATGAGACATCCAACATGCCAGATGCTTTTTAGCGTGCAAGATAAATATGTTGACATGCAACTTATTTATGTCGACATGCAACTTATTTATGTCGACATGCAACTTATTTATGTTGACATGCAACTTATTTATGTTAACATGCAACTTAGTTATGTTGACATGCAAGATAAATATGTTGACGTGCAACTTATTTATGTCAACATGCGACATATTTATGTCAACATGCAACTTATAAGTTGCATGTCAACATATTTATCTCGCATGTCAACATAACCAAGTTGCATGTCGACATAAATAAGTTGCATGTTAACATATCTAAGTTGCATGTCGACATAAATAAGTTGCATGTCAACATAAATAAGTTGCATGTTAACATATCTAAGTTACATGTCAACATATTTATCTTGCATGTTAACATAAATAAGTAGCATTTAGTATGTTGGATGTCACATGTGGGCAATATTTGAGATTTTTGAAGATTGTTTTATAATATTCATTTGATTGCAATTTTCTTGCATGTCAACATATTTATGTTGCATGTTGACATAACTATCTTGCATGTCAACATATCTATCTTGCATGTCGACATATTCAATAGAAAAATAACTTGCACACAAGGGGCAGAAATATGCCACCATAAAATGTCTAGTTGAAGACCACGGCAAGTGTTTTCTTCTTTTCACGCATGAGCCTGATTTTGGACGAATTCTGCTTCATATGAATACAAAAATAGGTATGTTACTAACGGGGCGCAACCGATACCCATGGGAATTCTAATAGATTGTTTGAAGACTCCTAAAAACCACATAGATATTGTCAATCAAAAACTCGAGCATCTTTTGATGTCAATTTCAGAGTACTTTGAGTACAATCTGTTAAGTTTTCTGGGTGCAAAGATCCAGTGAAATGATCACAAGTCGCCTTGCGCATACTCAAACATAGTGCGTGTTAAAAAAAATCAATCAATCAAAGGAAAATAACTCGTATAGCACAATTAGCAACATCAAAAAGCCTGGATTTTTTTTTAAACTTTCGGAATCCAATATAGATGTGGTAGTTCAAACTCCTCTCATTTTGGTTGTTTGTAATATTAAAATATTCAAAACTGACATATAATTTTGAAGAATTTCTTCATTAAAAATGTATTCTGAATTTGTCATAAATTCTATCTTGGCCTTTTGGGTCCATTTGGGTAAATCGACGTGCCAACGGAAATCCGTACTACGCATGCGCGAATTGCTCACAACTTGGGTATCACCCAGAGAAAGTCAGTATTGACGTAATTTTACAAATATTTTGGATTTTTCAGTAACCATGACACCACATTTGACTCACAGATGATGAAGCGTATAACGTTTAAAAGTGTAAAGCTTTCGTTACACCGTCACCGACGAAGTTCGCCCGAAGATGGAACTGGAATGGTGGATGGAGATGCAACATCTGAAACCAACACTTCAGCACCCCCAGAATCCAGTCACGAGGTGAGGAAAAAAGAGAAGATAGGGCTGCTAAAGAGTTTCAAACGCCGTCTGACGACGAACCTCCGCCGTAAAAGTGATGACGGCCACGAGAGTGATCACATTGAGGACCATTACATGACTGTGCCTTCAAAGCGTGACACGAAAAAACGCAAGAATAAATGGAAGCCTCCTGACCACTCTTCCAAGTCCAACTCGTCGTCTCATAGTTGTGATAGCCTAGACCTGAATATTACCTCAAACAGTTTCCAAAAACTGTGTGACATACAGAACAATACTGATGCGTATGATGTGAATGTGAAAAAAGACAAAGCAAGCTGCAAGACTAAAGATATGGCTCGATTTCAAGTGACAGAAAAATGTAAGAATGATCAGCTACCGAAGGAATGTGTCGTAAAAAATGGTAGTTTGAAAGAGAGTAATGTTTGTCCAGAGAAAATGCCTTTCCCATATCTGGAAACCAGAACTGAGGTGACAAGAGCCCCAACTTTTACTGATTGTGATGAGGAACGAGAGGCACCGAAAGTCTGGAACTTGACACAGGAACTATTTAGACTGTCAAAGTTTGGATGGTACTGGGGCCCTATAACACGAGTGGAGGCAGAGGATAAACTTGCCAATCAACAAAACGGTGCTTTCCTTGTTCGGGACAGTTCAGATGAACGATACCTTCTAAGTTTAAGTTTTAGATCTTATGGCCGGACATGGCACACACGCATCGAACATTGCAATGGAATGTTTAGCTTTTATGCTCAGCCAGAAACAGAGGGGTACCCCTCTATAGTGGACTTGATAGAACATTCAATGAATGACTCTCAAACGGGCATTTTCTGTTATTCACGATCAAGGTCCCCTGGTGCTCCATCATTCCCTGTGCGGCTGACAAAACCTGTTTCACGATTTACTCAAGTGCGTTCTCTACAGTATTTATGTCGTTTTGTTATTCGCCAGTACACTCGCTATGACCATATTCAGCAGCTTCCTCTTCCAAAGAAAATAAAAGGGTGGATCGAAGAAAATCAGTACTAGAAAAGGTGCCAGATACATGTATATGTATACATTCATATGTTTATTGATTAAATTTGTTGTTTTGAAAACAAATTAAGAATTTCCCGGTTCTCATATATGTTAGCAAAATGTTGAATTGTCTGAGGTTTGTAAATATACTGTGTTTTAACTTTTATGGAATTACCTCCTCCTATAAAGAACGGCTCAATATTTGCCTTTTAATATTTATTATCTTGTACATTTCATTATATATTGAGTATCATCAGTTTTCTACCTTTGTTTTATTTTCCTTGTGATCGATAGTGAATTTGTCAAATTCATTTTGAACACAATTTCTGCATTTGGATGACTGGCAAATTTCATTTTCATTTTAATATCTGCTTATTTAAGCATAATATTTTCTTAATGTTGACTTGATAATGATCTGATTTTTTGAAAAAAAGTATTTAGAGCAGTTAATTTTCTATGCTGTGCATGTATATTTATGACTGTTAGACTACAACGAGTAAAATTGGTATATCATTCATCACTCATTTGCTTTGATAAAGGGTACACACAGTCTGGCATTACATTTTGTTTTGATGATTTAGTTATTGCAAGCAATTAATACAATTATTATTCCAAATGGCAAAAGAAGTTTTTCACTTTGTACACTGAAGCACAGTACGTGTTTTGCATTTAATTTTTCTTTGCTTTTGTAAACTCTGTATACAAATGGTTGTCAGAATCTGTGAGGTAGTTTTGAGACATAGTCAAGACAGATTTATGTGTGATTTGGCACATATGAGACTACATCTATTTTCGTATAATTTAATACAGTATACCCAAAATGCCCAAGAAAAAAAAACTTTTTTTATATATCTTTCTCATGATTATAGTAAATTATTACAAATCAATATACTTGTACTAGTATTATCAAATCTTAATCATTATTGAAAAAAATCTTTCGTAGTTTCGTATGTGTTGTGTGTGAAACAAAACTTGAAGAAGGAATTGGACAGGGATAATTTTGGAGGGGGGGGGCTTAAATTTGTAGACGATATTTATTAAAAAAAAAATAAAATGGATGAATGAATTGGACAATAGGCATTGCCTATTTGTATTTGTATGCAAAAATTTTATATTAAAGACTATAAAAACTGGGGAAAGGAAAATAAACACTTGAGCACATGATGCTTAATTTTATCAGACTTTTACACAAAGCAAACCATTTTGATCTAAAATATTATTTTACACATGAATTTGTTATGTATTTCATTTTAAACGAAAAATATATTTGTACTTTTAAGCTTTTTTTCTTGATGTGTATGGAAAAACTGTAGTTCAATGTAATGTGAAACATTGTGATGGACTATGTTAACTTATGGTTGTAATGACGGTAGTATGATTTGTCGGGAAGATCACAGCTTCAGGCCTAGAAGTGTCATTGAAGCATTTGTTATATAAACTTAGCTTTATTCCTAGCGTTACTATATACTTTTGTTTTTACTTCATGTTGTCAGAAGTTTTTCAGTTGTTTTTTTTTTGTATGCAAATGTTACTAACAGTAAGATGTTTTGACCCCTGGGTCAAAAACAGGGTCTCAGTGCTTTAGACTCTCTATTATGATTATAATCTGTATTTATGCTGGTGTGCAATATCTTCTATTCTGAGTACTAAGGTGCTGTTATTTACCCATTATTATATTTAGCAAACATCTGTGTGCAATAGTGGCTACATGTTGGACAATTATTACTTTTATTCATTTATGAATATTTTACTCACAAACCTTTTTCAACCTAAAATAAACAATTCAAGTTTGATTGATTGGCCAAGACTGAAGTTTAATTTGATACATTGGGTTTTAAACTAAAACTAAAGGAAGACTACCTGGAAAAAATTCTGAATTTTGATGAAATTCCAAGGAAATGTTTTGACAAATCCGAAACACCTACATCCCATGGACATACTTACTCTTAAAGATTAAAGGAAATTCACCAAAAAGAGAAATTAAAACTTCTTTAGAAATGTCTTTTTACTTAAATTTAAGTAGATAATTTTTTTTCAACAGAAATCATACAGTACAAACTTTAAACATGATATACATATACCACCATTCATCATCATCATGAAACTGCAGCAAAGGGCCACCTCATTATTTTGAATAAGAATTTGGCAAGTCTAGGTATTAGAAAAGACCATATTTAGGCTGTTTAAGCTTTGTTTTGATTATACATCTCATTATCAGACAATATTTGTATTTTGAAGTCTGTGATTTTACATCTTTTTGTATACTATAAATATTCTTCTTTGGGATTATTATTTACAAATTTGTATCTTACTATGGGGTACATTTTATGATTTGGCTTCATTTTCTTATCAAACGTGATCAAGTTATGAAATCTGCCTCTTAATATGGCGATCACAGAAAGACCATATTTGTTAGTCAACTTTGAGAATCATTAGACAGATTAACGGAGGCATTTTCTTTTATTTTTTTTAATTGGTTGGTGTAGTATTACGAAGCTATTTTTAGGTTGTTAATTTAGCATATCACAGTGCTTGTACTTCTAAGAGGAGAATAAGAATTATAATGTCATCATCTCAGACTGATGTTCACCCTCATTTTGTCACCACTACAGAGAGTCAACTTGTTTTATTACTATCTGACCAGGGCAACTTTACCTTTTAACATCTTTTTAGAAAAATTTCTAATCAATTGTTTCTAAATTTTCCTAAAAGTATGTTAAGATTCTTGATGTCATATGTAAAAAAGAATGTTTACAAATTACTGTCAAATAAAGATAATTCACTGGAAAGACTAGGCCAATTGAAAAGAAAATTGGGGTGGAAGATGTCCGTAGATGAAAGCAGCAGCTCTGACAATATTAGTGATAAATCAGGCCTGGCCTCTGTAGTGCGTGTGTAGAACAGGTATCACAGATACTGTAGTGAACAGCTGCTTCTTTTCATCACTTTGTCATGTTTTAGCTGTGAAAGTTCTATTAACTTTCATTAAGTATTGCATATTAAGATTTTGAAACAGCTGATTAGGTTGCTATTAATAAATGTGCAAATCCACAAACTTCTTGTCATTTATATTTTAAGAGTTGTATTCCCTTAGCCACAGTTGTAGTGTTGTATGAGCTCAATGTGACAACACAACTTGGGTTTTTTATGTGTGAAGAGCTTGTGTTCCTCTAGAAAATTGTAAACCTTTTTTAGGTCACCTGAGTAACTCAGGTGACCTATTGCTATCCGTGCGTTGTGTGTCGTGCGTCATGTGTTGTGTGTTACCAGTGACCTTGAACTTGCTAACCTGGTCAAGGTCATGGCACACCACTATAATTATTGCAATCTTTAAAAATCTTCTTCTTTACTCATGGACATACATAAACAATCTTTATACCAAGTGTGAGCTTCCAAAAATTTTCATTACAAAGTTACAGCCAGGAAAATAATTGTATCCTTTTCTGTGACCATAGGAAGAGCAAGAGTGCCTCCTACAAAATTGTGAATTTTATGGCCCCAGGGTCAGCCAGCTTCAATCAATGTTTACTGTAGATCATTATATAGTGAAAATGCTAAATTTAAACTAACTAAGTACATAGTTACACCTTTGTGATTTTATGGCCCTAGCAGAGTTAGTCATTGACTAGTGAAAATGCATTTATTCTTTGAGCGTGTATTAAATAAACTAACTAAGTACAAAATTTTCACGAATTGTGTTTAATTATCTATATAATCTTAATATTTTCCTTTGGAATTTTATGCCAATGATCCAAGTATATATATATTTATGATGAAGAAAGGTGCATCTAGCAAAGTTTTTTTTTATGCCCCCCCCCCCCCCCCCCCGGTCAGAGAGCACTTTGAAATCTGCTCTTTGGTATTAATCAACCATTTTATGTAAAATTTGTAATTACACGAAAATGGAAATGCATTTTCTCTTTGTTGCTCTGATCTACCCCTGGGTATTAAGTAAACTGAGTTGCTCTCCCATGGCCTCTGGTATAATTGAAAGTTGTTACATAGTGCTATAGTTATGATGAGCAACACCCTCAGGAAATAGTGCCTTTTTCAAAGTTACAGCCAGGAAAATAATTGTGTGAATTTCATGGTTAAACTGATTAATTATGTACAAAGTTATGATGAGGAAGGATGGCTCTTCCAAAATTATGAATTTCAAGGCCTTAGGATCAGGTTCAAAACAAGAACCAAACTGAATGGTTTTTAAGGCCAATACAATATAGTAATTATACTGAAAATGAATTAATGCTTTGAAATCTGCACTTTGATAGTAATCAAACATTTATGATCATCAAAGGCACCTTTTCCAAAATTGTGAAATACATTTTGCTCCAAGGTCAGGGGTTCTTGTTGGGTCACAGGGCAATACATTGATATACTGAGTAGTGGAAATCCATTTTTTTCATCTCTCACTCTGTAAAATTGCAAAAAGTTATGATGATAAAAAGAATTTCATGGCCTTTGGTTCAAAACAAGAACCAAACTGAATGGTTGGAAAGTTGTTACATGGTTCTCAGGCACCTGTGGTCCTCTTTCTTTAGTAACCATTGCAACATTGTTCATCAAATCAAAAACCGATAAAAAGAATTATGTATCTTAGTGTAGTCTATTTGTGTGCCAAGTAATATTGCAATAAAATTATAAGACAATAGGCCCATGGAATTTATAAGTCACCTGAACAACATGTAACAACTTTCCAACAATTGGATTTGGTTCATGTTTTAAACCAGAGACCATGACATTCAAAATTTTTGAAAGAGGTACCATTGCTCATCATAGCAATAAACTTAACATGCTTAGTTCTCCTACTTAATACCTATAGGCAGAGTAGGACCCTGAGGCCATGAATTTCACAATTTTGGTAGAAGACTCGATACTTATTACAATCACACCAACATTTTGACTGCTTGATGTCCAGGTGTAAATAAGATTTTTAAAGATTGCAAAAAGACAGGGTAAAAACTACTAGACGTACATACCCCGAGTCTTCGATTACAGGGGCATAATAAGCTCTTCCTAGCACAGACATTTGTTTCTTATATGGGGCACTCCTACTTATAAGTAGGGGGCCCCATATACAAAACAAGTGCCATGTGCTTCCTGGATTAAACTTAACACTCGGATGATGCATCTAGGGATGGGCACATGACTTGCTATTATGCTGGATCTGATCTCAATTTTCAAAATGAGTGGCCAGGTTTAAGTTTTTGGAGCAGATTCATTTCCAAGAATTTATGAGGTAAGTCAATTAACATGGATGATACTTGGAAGCTGGATTTGAACTACATTTTCAAAACAAGAGAATTTTATCCATATTTATCCAAACTTGTTAATGAGTTGATGATGCATCTAGGGAAGGACAATATCAGACTTGCTACAGATGTTGAATCAGACCTACATTTTCAAGAGTTTTTGGATCAGGTCCATTCCCGAGTAACTGTAAGCCCCAAGTTACCCATGTGGTCCAGTGGTTAGAGCATCTGCTCTAGAGTCACGGAGTTGATCCTTACATCGCAGGTTCAAACCCACTGTGAGACATGGAGACCAGTCCTTCAGAAGTCGGAAGTCCTGCATCCCAGTACATGCTGGCATGAAAAAGATCCCTCCTTGCTTATTGCCTGTAATTGCCAAGTATAGGACAAAATTTGCAGCTCTCCATGGGCAAGTGGTGGTGTCTCCATTTGAGTGAAAAATTCTAGAGAGGGACTTAAACAAACTATGAGCCCTATCCTGACTAAACTTGCATAGATGATGCATCTACGGATGTACTCTACCCAACTTGCTTCAGATGCTAGACCTGAAATACATTTTTCAAATAAGTGACTTCTAATCATACTTATGGCCTGTTATGAATATACTAGATTTGATGATGCTTCTAAGAATGGACACTTCAAGATTTTGCTTTTGATCTTGGAACTGACTGACATGTTCTTGAGGTTTAAGTTTTTGGAGCAGGTCCATTTTCTAGTAACTACCGGTACAAGTTTTACATAGTCCAAACTTGCATGAATATTGATTTTGGGATGTACACAGACTTGAAATAATAAAAGATTTTCTTTATTTAATGATAACATTCATTGTGGTGAGTACCTAATCTTTGATTACTTGTGCTTTTGCTTTTGCATTGTAAGAATTTATGGCCTTGACCTTGAAATCAATTGGGGTATTCTAGAGGCCATAAAGAGCTATAATATGAATTTCACTGCAGAAGCTGTGACACTTTGAAAAATTACCAGTATTATGTAAGTAAGTTTAATCAATATTCACTTAAATAAGTCAAGGATGCATCATATAATAATTGGCTTAGACTGCCAAATATACCTTGGTCTGATCATCTAAAATTCCAACAAATATAAAAATAAGAAATCTGTGTAAAAAACTATAATATATTTGTAATGTTTTTACATGAATAAAACACAAAATAGAATAAATAATATTACACTTATCACAATGGTCTGAACAGGTCAGATAAATTTTACATCATTGTTCATATTGTATAGCTCTCACTGAACATGTAATGCAATTAAGCTTGATGGTTGTGGAAATTATGCTGACATGTATACCAAATCCCTATAATGTAAAATGTTCTTATTTTCAAAACATAAATTAGTGCATTCATGATTTTTGGTTCCAGTTGTTCAGCGAGATGAACTAATGGTGGGTGCAGAAACACTGATCACTAAGGCACACATCTAAAACCACACACGAAATATGGAATGTTGGGATATTACGCGCGATCTTCCACTCCCGCCTGCGTCATTAGGTCGGCAATGTTTTTCTCCAAATCATCAATGCGATTCCCCATTTCATCAAGTAAATGTGTTAAGGAAAACTAAATGACATTCATCAAAATACGTTTATATAAAATTATATACATATAATGAATATATTAAACCTTATTATCTCTCAGCTTGATGGGACAGTAAGAAAACTTCATAATAACCAGGTTTTGAGATATTAGGGGTAAAATGCATATTACGGAAAAATGACTTAGGTTTCTAAATGAATTTAATAAATTTATGGCATTGAACATGTTTGAAATACCCCTTTTATTTAAGATATGCATTTCTCTTTTCAATTACATGTAGATCTAGATGTTTTACAGTGAATGAGAATAACATTCCACTATTCAAGAGAAATATAAGAACATGGAATAAGCTGTATGGAAAAAAGAGATCTGTTTTACATTTGTTTTGATGAAACTTGAAACTTTTTTGTACAAATTGTTTGGTAAAGGATATTCCTATTGATAATCTGGTCCGACATTCCCTGGAATTTATCCTGCATCTGTTGTAGGAGGTTCTGGACCTGCCAATAAAAATAAAGCAGTAAAAGTTAAAGTCCTGGGATAGATTTAACATTTCTTTATATTTAATTTCATGAATTTGATCAAATTTGGATGCTTAAAATTCATTTGTAAGAAGAAAAATGTCAGTTTTCAGGTCAGAGGTACATGTGTTGTTACTGTCACAGTTATCTTTTTAAAATAATAAATAAAAAAAAAAAACTGTGCTAGTTATGAAATAATCTTTTTGCATCTATATTCTGACTGCGATGATATCTTGACAAAGACAATGTAAAAATAATCTGTAAATCAACAAAGAAGATATAGACACAGTCCTGAAATCTCTGTCTGATCAATAACGGCTCATAAGTTATTCAGAATTCATTCTATCCACTTGTTTGTTTATTGTAGAAAATCACTCCATATCATTGCTGCCTCCATGGAGACACTGTTAAGACATATGAATTAATTATATGTTTATCAAACACTTAGAAATGTAAGTATCAGTAATTAACACCAAAAATAAGGGGGGGATTAACATCTTGTTTAAATAATTCAGAAACAAGGCATTCATAACAATACTTTTAAATTACAAATCACAAAGGATTTAACCGTTCCTTTTTAGGTATAAAAAGTGCTATCAAAAAGTGCAAGTGTGGACAAGTGTAGTAAACACTAAACCATTATAATGGTGAAAAGCTTTAAAGACAATGCCGGAGATTGTAAACTCCAGGGTGCATTTAAATCCTCCCTTATCGCAGAGCTTATCAAAAATGTAATAGCTGTCCATTTATTAAACTGTTTCAAATAACATGTTTAAATATTCAGAATGGTAAAGTAGAAACGTTTCCATCTTCAAAGCAATTTAGTTTCTGTATTGTTGAGTTCACTTTAAAAGTCTGCTTTAATGTTTTATTCAGGGCCCTTAATTGATCAATTTCCTAGAGTCAATATTAATACCAAGATAAATTTACAATTAATTGTAAATTTGTAATACCAGTAAGTAACTTTGATCTTTACTCTTGGGTGCTTTAAAAAGCCTAAATCTACATCTACATATGAATTTACAGATAACCCCAAAATTTTAGTACATATATATACCGATATAGATGGCTCAGAAACCATGGTAATGATGCAACAGTGTGATCCACGGTGTTTACAGTGGAGCAGAGTATTAATACGGAAGCTTCAACTTCCCACATTTTTGGGGAACAGGATTTTACACTTATTATTAACAATTGTAAAATAACAGTAATTTGGAGGCTTCATTAATCCATCCAATTTGCGTTTAGATTAATTAATGCCTAAATCAACAAGGTTTGACTGTATTCAGAAACCTAGAATTCAAGTTATAAAATTGTATGTATATCTGTATCAATTTAAAAGAACTCAAAACCAAGTTTATTCCTACAGTTCTGATCCAAAAAAACACAATTTAGGAAATGTGACAACAGGATAGTTGAAAATCATTAGTTTAGTTTATTTATTGAAATAGGCCTTTTAAATTAAGGACATTAAAACATAAAATATAAAGCAGAATACAAAAAAAAAAAAGAAGGGACCAAAAGAGATAGCATAATCCAACATTTCAAGTATTTAATTATTTTTTATATCATCAAATGTTCAAGACTTCAAGTCTGAACTTGTATTGATCAACACTGATCTTTGTGTGCAAGATTAGTGATCTGATAATGATAAAAACATGGTTCACTTACAAATTGCGTTAAATCCTGAATGTTCTTAGGATCAGCACTATTTGTGATGTAGTCTTTACCAGTATCTGCCATTTTCTTTCACCTTATAAAGATGTGACTTTCCTTTTTGGGAGCTGAGTTGACAGATTATAAATCTTGTTAATGCGCATGCGCTGAAGACCTCAAATTATTTTATGGGAAGCCATCCGAGATGCTCCGAGTGTGAAAATGGCTGCGACCATAGGAAAGGGAATGAAAGGCAGCTTGATAAAATCCCTCTTAAACAGTGAAGGTTCGCATCAATTTACAAATGTAAGGTATGCAACAGGTCTACGATCAAAAAGAAGTGGAAAACCGCCAGGAGTTGCAAGGACATTTGAGCAGAGATTAGCAGGTGAATTTAAAGTTTTTTCTATCGTTTCGAATTTCCTCAGAAACAACCTTGTAATTATTGGATATCTGCTTTAAAAAAATCCAACACAATGTAGCGACTGTGAATTAGCTTACAACTGAACAGGTTCATCATGGTTATAAAATGTATAATTGGGAAATCATATATGATGTCACTAACTGTAAAAAAAAAACAACAACACATATTTATAATGTGAAATTGTGCATTTATATATGATGAAATGCATTTCAGGGTCCTTGATTTAAGGATAACTGTCCAAGTTTTTAGTTTCATGATGTGATCAATTGAGTGGCTTGCATGATAATTTAATAATAATATAATAATAAATGGCCGCAGGGCTCTCAATTCTGTATAATTGCATGAGGCCATTTATAGGCCCCATTCCCAATTCAAAAAGGGTACCTTTTTTCCCAGTTGAATATATTAATTTTCCCAAAAGTTATTTCTCCCCAAAATTAGGCCTAGAAAAAAAATATGTTTGTTTCCGCTTTCAGGCTGAAAAAAATATAGGGTAGGTAGGTAGGCAATTTTTTTTTTTTTTGGGGGGGGGGGGGGGGGAATTTTTTTTTGCTTCTTTAATCAAAACGTGTACAGAAGTATTATTAATGACAAAAGAAATGGTGTTTTCAAGCATTACTGTGACTTAACTTATAATAGAAAGGTGACCCAAACTTCTTTCTGTCTTGAAAAACTTGCAAAGTTGGAGGCTATAATTCCCTGGTTGAAATCTTGCACATCATGGGACAAAAGCATTAAAAAAATATTTAGGGTCAGCGCTATAAATTAGGGTCGGTCGGGAAAGCGGAAACAAACATTTTTTTTCTAGGCCTTAAAGAAAATACAGTTGGTTATATGCAATAATTAAATTTGTTTTTCACATTCCTCTGTATTGTAAAGCAATAATTTGGTTGATAACAAAGATCAGAAACCTAGTATATCATGTTTATAAAGAATAATGGTTATCCCCAAATTTCCCAAAATGTCGCTATTTTTCCCAATTTTGATGGACAGGGACCCATTCCCAAAAAGTGGTGTGAGAGCCTTGAATGCAAAAGGCATTTGTAATCAACTACCTTTCTATTTCTAGACACATTCTTTAACCAACCTGTATATTTTATCCACCTCCCAACCCTTTATAGTCATGTCTACAGATCAATAAACTAGCTTGTTTTAATTTTTTTCTCGGATGGCTTTTTGGTCCATAGAGACATTTTAAAGGTTTTGGGAAATGGATAAAATACAGAGATTGATTTAAAAATGTGTCTAGAAGTAGAAAATGAAAGGTAGTTGATTGACGAACAGTGAAAAGTGATGAAATTCTCCCAAAAAGTGCACAGGAAATCTTGTTGCAGCTACTGTTTGGCAAGTTGATAGCTACGTCTGAAAGGGCAGATCACTCAAAAAGCATAAATCTACCACTGGATGGAATTCTTCAATGAGCAGTACTAAAAAATTCCTTTGTACCATCATGGTTGATTTTTGTTCCTGTTGGAACATAGGACCTCTGCAACAGTCCTCCATCACACTCTGTTTTGAGCAGCCTTTTTCCATTGTTCCCAGCTATATCCACACTGTCTGATTTCCTCTTCACATGACCTTCGCCAAGTTGTCCTGGGATGTCCTACCCGATGTTTGTCTTTGGGGTTCAATTTGAGCATATGACCTGTAATGTCTCCTGATGGTTTTCACAGGGTATGCCTAATCCACAGACCACTGCCACTTTCTTCAGGCCACTTGCTGTCAGTGATTGGGTCTTGGTTTGTTGCTTTCCACGGGTTCTTGTTGTTTATATTTTATGGCCACCTGATGTTTAGTATGTGACGCAGGCTACTATTTGTGAAGGTTTGTTGTTTGTTGGAGGTAGTGCTGGTGACTCTCCATGTTTCAAACCTTTATACCATGCATAAACTATATTGTTACAAAATACAAAGTCAAGATTGTGATTACTTTTTCATTTTTTAAAACATATGAAAATAGAGAAATCTATCACTTGTTTTTCTCGTAGATTATGGTTGATCCACCTGCCTCTACCCACTGACATCTGCACACATATTGTGTGGAGCAACCTGAATTATATAATATAACATAAATGATTAAAATTATATATATATACAATAATTTTATTTGAATGTACATTTTTATCTGAATTTATGTTGCAGATATGAAATTGACAAAACAAGCCAAACCTCCAAACATCAACATCGGTTTTCCAATAACAAAAAATAGTTTGATAGAAGCACAAACTAGAGCTGTGATAAAGAAGAAGAGAAGACAGTTACTGGCCGTAGCTCAAGAGGGAAAATGTATGTCTTTTGTTGTGATTGTTCATGTATGTTAAATGGGAAAATGTATGTCTTTTGCTGTAAAACTTGTTCACTGAACTGCTCTGTAAGGTTAATCCTAAGCTTTGGCAATGTTATTTTTGAACATTTGAATATATTTTGTATAAAAAAAAGGGAAATTTCCTTAAGGCTTCTAGAAATGAATATACCAGGGTATATTACTGTATAAGTAGAATTTTTAGCGAGGATTAAATTTTGGCATTATTAGCGAGGGTGCTGATTTCGCTAAAATTTCATATCGCTAAAAATTAATTGCGTTTTATTTGTAAAACTTCTTTAGTGAACATTTTAAAATTGCTAAATTTGCATCTCACTAAAAATAAACACCCATTTTTAAGGACAAATCGATAAATTTGTGTCTTGCTAAAATTTCTACTTATACGGTATTTGTGAATTTTTTTTCTTTTCATTTCTTTTTTGATTTTTTGCTCACCTCTTATTTGGTATGTACATTAGTTTATATGTAAAATAATTGTTAAACATAATTATTTGTTAATCTAATGTTCCATTATGGATTGTTTTTCAGTAAAAATTGACCTGCACGAGGTGGAAGAAGAATCTTGGAAGACGAACAAACAGGAACAGCTACACAGACTTGCCGAGCATTATGGGTTATTTCGGGATTTGTTCAGAGGGGCCTATTTTTTCCCACATGTCAACTTGGATGTAAGCTATGAGCTTCCTGATGACTGTGAATTGCCTGTGTATCATGGGAACAGGATTGAACCCTCTCAGGTAAGTCATAAAGATTGAATAAGATTGATATAGAATATGATGGAACAAATAAAAATAAACCCTGCAGTAGATATGCCTCCAAATCTGATTTTTGTATGATCTGGATTTTTTCTTAAAAGTATCGATCTAGGAATCGGGTACATGTACAAGTTCCTTAAAGCCGCTCAGTCCGATTCTAATCGCTAAAAAATATATTCGCTTTTCTTCTTGAAAAGTAATTGTCTATAAATTGTTTCAACTTTTGTCAAATTATATCCCCAAAGTCTTTTTCTTTTAAAAGATATCAAAATTCAAAAGTAAAAAAAATAATTTTTGTTAGGTCACACAAAAAATAATCCTTTGTTGATATTGCATGAAATCACCTTCAAAAAATTAAATTTATCGCTTATATGTATAACTCATGAAGAACAAACCCGAGCATTTTTTTTTCACAACAAAGGCAATGTATTAGCCGTTGTTACTAAACTTCCTTGTAAAAAACTCTTTAAAAATATCTGATTCTCCTTTATCCTTAAAATATGCATATTAATATAAAAATTACTATGTATTATATTCAATTAGTTTCTTTAATTTTTAAAAGATATATCATGACTGAGGCTTCTACTAATGGAAAAAAAATACTCGGGTTTGAATTCTCTTCATAATTAGATATAAACGATAAATTTATTTTTTTCAAAGGTGACTTCACAACAGATCTTCACTTCCCGTCAGGAACTTCTGTTTGTCAATAAAGGTTTTGATCTATGTAAGGATTCACTAAGGATTACTTACTATGTTTTCCATGTAAAGATTGTTGTAATAAACTATTAAATCAGTCTTATAATTTATTTTATATATTATCTATGTAATGACGTACTTTTATTGTTTGAGATAATATGTGCCTGTTTCGGATGAAGCGGCTTTAATGTGAGAATACCCTGCCTGCATTTGTTTTTCAGAAAATAATTTGAAAACTAAATTAATTTTTAGCTCACCTTAAAAACTCATGATCAGCATTGGCGTTTAGGTTAAAGTTTTTGGAGCAGGACTATTTCGAAGTAATTTTCAGGTGACCGAACTTGCATGGATGATGAATATAGAGATAAATGCCACCATATTTGCTGTGGATGCTGGATCTGACCTTCATTTTCTGGATGAATATAACCAGCTTGAAGTTGATTTGAGTTGCATGATTGATTCATCCAGCATGTTTTACTATACTTGGTTAAAGATTTTGGTGCAGGTATCATTCTTAAGTTACTACCGGTATAAGCCCTATGGCTCCACCCTAAACATACCTGAGGAAAACGGACTGGTTGAAAACCTTGGCCTTAAACTTACATGGATTATTCATCTAAGGATGCACACTACCACAGTTGGTTTATTTTAATTTTTAATGTCATTATGTGATGATGTTACTATTACTTTGTAGACTGGCAGTCCTCCAAATGTGTTCTACGAGACAGAGCCAGACACGTTATGGACATTGTTAATGACCGCCCCTGACAGTCACCTTCAGGATAATGATGCAGAGTACCTCCACTGGCTAGTGTAAGTAAAAAGTAGAGGACCACCGAACAGAGTACCTCCACTGGCTAGTGTAAGTAAGAAGTAGGACATCCTAATTTAACAGAGTACCACCACTGGCTAGTGTAAGTAAAAGTAGAGGACCACCGAACAGAGTACCTCCACTGGTAGTATAAGTAGAAAGTAGGACATCCTAATATAACAGAGTACCTCCACTGGCTAGTGTAAGTAAAAAGTAGAGGACTTCTTAATATAACACAGTACCTCCACTCAGTCCACTGGCTAGTGTAAGTAAAAAGTAGAGGACTTCTTAATATAACACAGTACCTCCACTAGCTAGTGTAAGTAAAAAGTAGAGGACTTCGTAATATAACAGAGTACCTTCAATGGCTAATGTAAGTAAAATGAAGAGGACCATCATTATACCCCCCGCAAACGAAGTTTGGGGGGTATATAGGAATCACCTTGTCCGTCTGTCTTCTGTCCGTCTGTTTGTCTGTCCGTCTGTCTGTGCAATCGTGTCCGGTCCAATTCTTTCTTACGGAGAGACATTAGAATCTACTACTCCACACAAAGATTGCCCATGACCTAAGGGTGTGTCATGATCTTGACCCAAGGTCATTTGGGGAAGTTCAAGGTCACTGGAAGAAAAATTTCATAATTCGTGTCCAGTCCATATCTTTCTTATGAATAAACTTGGTAGGTTCTCATTTCACACAAAGATTGCCAATGACCCAAGGGTGTGTCCTGACCTTGACCCAAGGTCATTTGGGGAAGTTCAAGGTCACTGGAAGAAAAATTTCATAATTTGTGTCCGGTCCATATCTTTCTTATGGATAAACTTAGTAGGTTGTCATTTCACACAAAGATTGCCCATGACCCAAGGGTGTGTCATGACCTTGACCCAAGGTCATTTGGGGAAGTTCAAGGTCACTGGAAGAAAAATTTCATAATTTGTGTCTGGTCCATATCTTTCTTCTGGATAAACTTAGTAGGTTGTCATTTCACACAAAGATTGCCCATGACCCAAGGGTGTGTCATGACCTTGACCCAAGGTCATTTGGGGAAATTCAAGGTCACTGGAAGAAAAATTTCATAATTTGTGTATGGTCCATATCTTTCTTATGAATAAACTTGGTAGGTTCTCATTTCACACAAAGATTGCCCATGACCCAAGGGTGTGTCATGACCTTGACCCAAGGTCATTTGGAGAAGTTCAAGGTCACTGGAAGAAAAATTTCATAATTTGTGTACGGTCCATATCTTTCTTATGAATAAACTTGGTAGGTTCTCATTTCACACAAAGATAGCCCATGACCCAAGGGTGTGTCATGACCTTGACCCAAGGTCATTTGGGGAAATTCAAGGTCACTGGAAGAAAAATTTCATAATTTGTGTCCGGTCCATATCTTTCTTATGGATAAACTTGGTAGGTTCTCATTTCACACAGAGATTTCCCATGACCCGAGGGTCCTGACCTTGACCCAAGGTCATTTGGGGAAGTTCAAGGTCACTGGAAGAAAAAATTCATAATTCGTGTCCAGTCCATATCTTTCCTATGGATAAACTTGGTAGGTTGTCATTCCACACAAAGATTGCCCATGACCCAAGGGTGTGTCATGACCTTGACCCAAGGTCATTTGGGGAAGTTCAAGGTCACTGGAAGAAAAATTTCATAATTCCGGTCCATATCTTTCTTATGGAAAAATTTACTTCTGAAAAACCCAGCAGGGGGTATTTTGTCCCGTTTGAACAGTTCTAGTTTATTGGTAGAGAGAATCACCACTGGCTATTGCTTTTACTTCTTAAAGACTAATCACTTCTCTAGTATTAAATCAAGCAATTTTTATCCTTCATTAAGGTCTTCCGTTTCCAACGGAAGACCTTCTTCTAATTTTGTTGGTAAAGATTATTATTCTTTTTTTTTCTTCTACTTCCTAGACCGCAACTTTGAGGCCTCATATCTCACTCATTTCTCAACGGATTTCGCTCAAATTTTCAGAGGTTATAGACATTAATAAACTCTATCAGAATGCTGTCTAAAATTTCAAAAAGTCACTTCTGGTTTTGAGTTTTTTCCCTTTAAACGAAAATTTATAGGCTTTTGTTTCCAGACAAAGGCTCAGAGACGGCTAAAGCTGGAGCAGAAATTCTACTGATTTTAGATAATAGAGGAATTGAAGTTGTGTACATCGGTTTTTGTTTTTCGATTTCTCTATTCAAAATGGCGCTATATAGGGGTAAAAAATTAGAACGCTTAAAAGAACCAAAAATTACTCATATTTTGCTTTTTATCTCTTAAACTAGAAATATTTTGTTAAAATATATAGAATATATTTTGTGCAGAATTAGAAGATCTTTCAAATGATATGTCAGAAAAAGGGCTGGCCCTTAAAATTAAGGGTCTAGAGGGGCCAAAAGTTTTTCCTTTATATCTCAAAAAGTAGCGAGAATTTGTAATACGTTAAAGAAGCAAAGTTGTTTAAAATGTCAAGCTTAATCTATTCAAGTCGTCAAAATACGTCCGGCGTCGTCACTTCCGGCCAAACCGGAAGTAGTCGGGAAACGCGTATTTTTGCCGTTCTTGACAAGTTTTTGGGTAACATCTGTCACTGGGAGCATAAAATTCAATTTTACGTCCGTTGTCGTCACTTCCGGTCAAACCGGAAATAGGAAAAATGGCTTATTTTTGCATTAGTTAACATAGATTTGGAGGATTTAAACAGTTTTTGCTTGTATTTAGTCATTTTTTTAAAATGAAAGTTACTTCCGGTCAAACAGGACGGAAGACCTACTTGTTGCCTTGCAACGAGCTTTGCTCTAGTTTAAAGATATTTTTATGCCCCTTAATCAAGGATTCGGGGGTACGTGTATATAGTTTTTGCTCTGTCTGTCTATCTGTTAATATTTTCATGTGATCCAATCCATTAATTCAGAAAAAAATTCCTACCCCTACCATATATTTTTAAACCTAAGTCAGAAGAGGGTTGCAAACATAATTCTAAAGATGGTATAGATTTATTTATTTATCTTTGTTTAATTACAGGGGAAATATACCTGGAAATGATGTCAGCAAAGGGGAAGTACTCTGTGATTATCTGCAGGTGTTCCCGGTGAAAGGAACTGGATTCCATCGCTGTGTATTTGTCCTGTTTAAACAAGAGCAGAAAATTGACTTCAGCAGGGACAGTTTAACACCAAACACGTGAGACAGTAGTTAGAATAACAATATCAATTTAACGATAGAACGTTCTATCTAGTAAGACAGTTAACTTGTTGCAAAGGGGTACTGTAGTCAGTCCGTTAGAAATTTTGATTCTCTTATTAGTTCACCTAGCTCAAGTGAGCTTTTCTGATCAGAATTTGTCCATTGTCTGTATTGTTGTTGTAAAATTGTCACATTTTCATCTTCTCAAGAACATCTGGGCCAATATCAACCAGAGTACTGTAGATTCCTTATTTTTTGCGAATACTTATTATCGGTAATTGGCTCTTCAATCACGATAATAATAATTCGCGAATGGACGGTTGATCAAGATATTTTTCATAGATTCCAGCACCATAGAAAAAAAGGCGAGTAACTTTATTTCACATGCGACACTTCACGCCAAGTTACGTGATAATTAATTCCACGCTTATATTTAGGAATCTACAGCATCTTGGATAAAGAGGATTCAAGTTTGTTCAAATGAAGGGCCATACCCTCTTCCAAGGGGAGATAACTAAGAAATAGTGTGAATTGGGTGGGTGTATAAAATCTTCTTCTCATTAACCAGTGGGTTAGAAAAATTCAAATTATTTGAAACCTTCTAGATATAATGTAAATTCAATTTGTTCAAATAATGACTCACATTGGTGGGGCAACAATGGGTAATCAAAGTTTTACATAAGAATATATAGAAAATATCTTTCAGAATCTTCTCAAGAACAGCATAGTCATGTTTGGTAATATATAGGCCAATATTTTTTTTTTTAAATTGGTTTACAGATTTCAAAATTTTAAAATCTATACGGAGGAAAAAAAAATTTTTCTGATGTCTTTGACGTTGATGCATATATATTTTTTCATGGTGAATACAGCATGCATTTGGCTTTCAATATGTTTCATTATATTTCCCCAATAGATTGCCCATGTTTTGATTTAATCATGGCTATTAAAGACCATGAATACTTGCTTATTTGGTTGAACTAATAAATTGTCGTTCAAGATTAAAAGCATCCTCAGGTAGTGTAGATTCAAGTTTGTTCAAATCATGACCCCTGGGCTTAGGGCGGGGCAAAAATGGCCGATCAAATTTTACATAGAAATATATATAGGAAAATTCTTTAAAAATCTTCTTCTCATAAATAGCAAAGCCATAATTGATCATATTTATATGGAAGCATCCTCAGATGGTGTAGATTCAAATTTGTTCAAATCATGACCCCTGAGCTTAGGGCGGGGCAAAAATGGCCGATCAAAGTTTTACATAGAAATATATAGGAAAATTCTTTTAAAATCTTCTTCTCAAGAATTGCAAAGCCATAATTGTTTTTTTCTTATGTTTCAAAAAATCGTAGTGTAGTGTAGATTCAAGTTTGTTCAAATCATGGCCCACGGTGGTAGGGTGGGGCCATAATGGGGCAATTAAAGTTCTACATACTATTATTAGAAATACGTAGAAACTATCTTTAAACAGAAAGCTGTGATTGGTCGTGTTTATACTTTGCAATACTGAACTGATTTTCTGTTTTTTCTAGCCAAAGTGCTCAGGTGAACAGTGTGGTTTCTGGTCCTCTTGTTTAACAATAGATATAAAAAGGACTATTTCATAATAAAGCAGATGTTTGTCACTTTTAACAGGTGCTCTCTAAGGGAAAGGACATTCAAAACATTTGACTTCTATGAAAAACACCAGGATCATATCACACCAGCTGGGATTAGTTTCTTCCAGTGTGAGCATGATGAGAGTGTTCGAGAAGTTTTCTGGAACAAGCTTGGTAAGTCACTTTAACTGTGTAACAGAAATAGGCTATAGTATTGCTTCCTGGAATATCTCTTAATAAGAATAGATTCATCCTGAAAAGGTGTAATTTACACATAACAGATCATATATAAATTGGAAGAAAATGGTATTAACTTGTACTTTATTGTAGGTATGAAAGAGCCATGTTTTGAGTTTGTATTCCCAGCCTCTTATCACCCAAAGCAGAAGAAGTTTCCACATAAACAGCCATTTGATTTGTGAGTACATTGAAGTTATAGTTTTTTACTTTATCTCTCATTAACAATCGACAATCCACAACTGATCCTGCTATACTCCATACAAACCTTGAATGTGGTTGGTGGAGGAATACATGTATGCTTCAAATTGATGCATTTATCCACTGGAACTGCCTTTTAACTTATTTCATAATTTGTATATATAACGTTCATAAAAAATGTTTTATTACTTGTCAAATTCATCCTTGTCTACTGTTTTGATTATAACTTTGTTAATAGTCTTTGAAAGCAGAAGTATGGCTTTGGGCATGCCCAAAAGTAACTCAGATTTTATTAAAGGAATGATATTTGGACTATTTTGGGTTGGATCACTATTGTATTAGCAAATGATAGAACACCATTCATCTCCGAGGTTTGTGTGCAAGGCATGAGCCAACTGACAGCTCTGAGGGCCTCACTGAAGGAATTTTTTACTTAAACATTTGTTTTGATGTAAATTTCAGATATTTAGATCGATACAGAGACATTAAAGATATCGATGAAGAGGTTTTACGGGAGAAGTTAAAATCTGTACATCCATTCAAGCCTCCCACACCTCCCCCGAAATACCCATTCCTCCACTACAACGACGAGGTCCGGGGAAAACCCTCCTGGCTCAAGATGAAGAGGAAACACATGTTATTAAAGGACATGCAGTGGAGAGAAACTTGATTGTGATGCTAATAGCCTGATAGTGTCTATTCCTTAATAAATCTCATTTAAATACCAGGTTATCTTTTTGTGTGATAATTGACAAATTTGTCCACAAACGTTGGTGAAGAGGAATTCAGAATGTATAATTTTGAGAAATGCATAGTTTGAATTATCCCTTTTTAATATGGAAAGTTGAAAATCCTAGTTAATTTGTCGCCATTTTGTCATCTGCAAGCCACAGTGAAATGATATCTGGTTGTTTTTACATGAATGTATACAACTACAGTGTATTCGTTTTATAAAGCATAAAACTACATGTAGTATATTTTATTACAATAAATTATAGTTTAGACTCACTGCATACTATACTGGATATGACTGTAAACTACTATCATATTAAAACATAGTTAGTGAATATTGGACCTTTGAGAGAATATTGATAGGACATGATCAATATTCATGTTCAGCTTGTTAACTTGAACGAGGGCTGTTCAATAAATAATGTCCTGAACTGCATGACATACAATACAGATATCATATGACATTAAGGCCATTCTCTCATTTGTATATAGTCTGACGTCACGGCGTCAGGCTGTATATTTTCAACAAATCCAAATGTGCGATAATATTATAAAAGAGCGCGCGCGTGCAAAAATATTTAATATAATTTTTTTCCTGCATTTTAAAAGAAATTTTCAGAAAACAGAATGATATTACTTTGTTTGTACTTTGTAGCAGTCCTGTGAAGTTTTGCAAGATGCCTGTGAAATATATTACTTTTTTTACAGATTATTCCAGGGGTGAGCCATTAGCATAGGGGCTACCATTTTGGGGGGTCAGGCTAGTTGTTTTCTGCAAGGAGGTAGCCCGTCGAGCTAGTAAAAAACATAACTACACACACAATACATGACAAGTACAAATACAATCAGTATTTTTACTCGGTTTTTGCTATAAAATTCCCAAGCAGTTAAAATTTTCCAGAAAACATGCTCCTACTGTCAATAAATCTCCAGAATCTTATCTGTTTTGCAGTTCTAGCTGACTTATTTACTTCCAAAAACGATCGTTTTTCCTAATCCGAATTTCCTCTATTCTTCCATTCACGGTAAATACATGCAGATATCTCATTATATTATTTACGATCACCCAATCAACTGAAAGATAAGGTTTTTGTGACTTACATAAAATATATTTCCAGTGTATTTAATGATATAAGATGAAATCAAAATGAGCTACTAGTGCAATGATCAGAAAAAGGGAAGATAATTTATTTAAATTAATTTTAATTTTCTTTCATAATAATTTATGCATGATTAATATTGAGAACTTTTAACTGTAATTTTAAAAAGAATGACCTCAGTACCCTGACATTTTTAAGAATTAATTTTTTCTCAACATTACATGTAGTATTTATTTTAATTTTTGTCCCTCTATGTGGGCTAGTAACTTTTTACTTGGGGCTAGTAACTTGAAAGCTGCCACTAGCCCGTGGGAAAGTACTTGATTTCTTTTCAATTGCATACCTCTTTGTACTGTAGTTATAAACATTGGGTACAAAGTAGTTCCATACATAGCAATAGAAATGGAATCAGAGGATCCGAGATGTTTGACAAAAAAGAGAAGAGCTTAATAGAAATTTTTGCCACTAAAATTAATTATATTCGCTCGCCTCATAATTTTGAAACCCGAAATGAAAAATAATATTTGTAAAATATTTTCGCTCGCTCGCCTCACTTTTTACTTTTGAAAATCCGAAGAACTATGTTAGAAATTGGTGTGGCCTAAGCTTGACTTTCTCTCATTATTTAATAGCCATTCTCTGTAACCACTTAAACTTCATTGCCACGCATGGTCACCGATTTTTATGAAACTTCACCCATGCTTAGTACTTGACACCAGAAACAAATATCAAACAAAATTTCGTTGCTAAGTGTCTCGGTTGCTATGGCAACAGCCGGAAAAGTTTGAAAAATCGAGATTTTCAGCCACTTTAAATCTTGACTGTGTCTTAATAAAAACTAGAAAAAGCAAACAAACTATTCTCACAAAAACATGACACCTTGATGTCACTTATACTGTAAAGAAACTGTTTAGAATATATCTCTAAGTAAGTGGTAACCAAGGGTACGTTTGGAATACATTTAAAATGCTGAAATATGCTGAAAAACACTCCATATTTACTAATTCGGGGTGATACATGCTCAAACTCAATCAATGACTTAAGAAAAACAATGAAAATGTTTGACCTTAAGTATATAAGTATAAGCAATATTATTCTATAAATAACTTTTATGGTTGCCATGGTAACACAGTGTAACCATGCAAAACCAGTAACTAAGATTGGGTTAATGCTGCTGTCTTGAGGAAAAACATGAAAATTCAAGACTGGCAAATATGCATCCTTAGGACCTTGCAACACTAAAACCATAAGAAAAATTGGGTTTAATTACTACTTTGCAGTGTTACCATGGAAACAAAGTACCAGTGCTTAAAAGTGAATTATTTTTCGCTGCATTAATAATTAAATTGCCATATAATCAAGAAACAAATTAAAGGACTCAGCTTGAATAGTACTTATCTGTTAGAACTGAAGTTGAATATCATATATTATAAAATTTGATGAAGAAAACAACACTGTTGCTATGGTTACCAAGAAGGGAAAATGTTCGATTTTGTGAACTTGATATCAATATTAAACCCTGTATGCCAACTTCTTGCATCCACTTAGAGATTGGATGATAGTCAAAATTAAAAGTCAGGTTAGCTGTGACTAGAAAACTGACCAGTCAGCAAGGGCCCCGCCATGGGGTAGAATTAAAAGGGTGCAGCTTACAGAATGATTAATAAATGTACGAAGAATAAGCAACAGCAACTGTATTCTTAAAATTTCTAATTCCTGAATATTCAAAAACCTGAAAATAATATCCTTGTATTTACATTAGGCAGTAAAGAATAACTTAACATTGAATGTATATTTAAACAATTATGAAGCTTGTGTTATATAAAATGCCAGCCTTCAATGAATGCAAATATATGAAAATTGACATGAATTCTTTGAAACAGCAGTTGCTCAAAGGTTTTCATTAACCTTAAAGTGACAGATAAATTAAAGCCTATAAATTTTCTGATGAGGCAAGAAATTAATCCCAAAATTAATTTTACCTCTCTCATCATTTTCTTCTAAATTTACAATAAGAACTTTTTCAGTATTAATGATAGAATGATAAACTACATTAAAAATTAATAATATTCTTGAATTAATACATTTCAAAAAAGTGAAAAAAGTGAAAAAAAGTAAATCAAAAAATCTTCTTTAATCTATTTCTTTTTTTAGAATTCAATGAAATCATAACTATCAAACAAAAATAATAAAAATTTATATTTAAATCCACATTTCAGAGTGTTCATAGCATTCCAAATTGATTTAACTTCAAAACAAACTTCATTTGCATTATATAGATGGTAATTAATCTCAATGTGACAGATAAAGATAATGCTTGGATTTTCTTCAGGAGGAAAGCTAATTAATCCCAAGGGACTCCTAAGCAGCATTCACTTTACAAGGGGAACATCTTCAGCAGTTATCTCTCTTTGCCAATGCATTCTTATATAAAGTTAAGAAATTTACCACCCCAGCTCCAAACCATGGGTTCATAGAGAACCAAACTTAGCATCAAAATATGTATTTCTGTCAGTGAAAAAAATTTGTACTTGATTGGGCAACCATAAAAAAATTTTTCATTCTTATGCATAGTAAAGGAATCTACCCCACCACCCCAGCTCCAAACCAGAAGACATAGATCACCAAACTTGCATTTCAAAATGTGTTTTCTGGTCACTGAACTACCATACCAAATTTGAACTTGATTGGGCAACCATAAAAAAAGTTATTAGAAAAAAACAGAAAATTTGTTTGAAATCTGCTCCTTTTCAAAATTTGTCAGTGTGTGGACGGCCAAGTGATTACAGGGGTACAAATCCTTGCGGGGCCCTATTAAATATCAATCATAAAAGTTTTGCTCTACATTTTTTGATAAGGAAAGAAAATATTTTTCAGGTTTTTAAGCATATATTTTCTGCTTATTTCCATAGCAACGCTCTATTTTAAGAATCTGCTCTGAATTTTTTCAAATTGGAAAACTGGAGCACACCAACATCTTTAAAAATTGATCATTGTTATAGGAAATGTGCTTTTTTAAAAGAAAGGAATCCGATTTAAACATACAAGTGTTACTGGAAAGTTGTTGCAAAAGGCTCTGTGTGGTATAAAAACCTTGGCAACCATTGCCAACCAAATTGAAATATCATATTTTGTTCTTGGTATATGTTTCAAGGCTGTTTTTTCTATTATTTGGTCACATTTCATCCTATAAAGTTTTTTATTTTTACGTGTATGACTTTATAGAATTCAATGATTTTTTTTTTTTTTTACTTTTGAATACTTTGTTACCATAGTAACGTATGTAATAGTTGATTTACCAAACATGTTTATCATGCAGACGGAATGGTTATTCAACTTTTTGAAACAGTCATTGCCAATTATTTGCTTTGCCGCAAATGTTCAACAATGTCTCGTGTAAAAAATGCCATTTTTCTGAACTTTAAGACATGTTAGCCATGGTAAAGCAAGGGGATTAATTTCACGGGTTGTAATTTTCACGGTTTTCTCTCCGTATCAAAAAAGAGCTTAAAAAGTACGGCTTAATACACGGAATTTCCCTATGTTTTCAAACGTTTTGATCCCTTTCTATATCCGTTTAATCCATAGCTACATATAAACGACATTCATCATTGTTATGTTTTATTTATGGCAACATGAATAACAGGGTAGGTTTATAAAATAGTTAGAAAAATTTAAAATCTGAATTTTCAAAACAGGAGCAGTTATCAAAAGCCCTTGTCATAAACGTCAAAAATAACTTTCTTCTGATATACCACTACAAATGCATATCACTTACAGGCAAGTAAACCACTTGTTCGCCACACGAATTTTCTGTAGGCCTACTGGAGCAAATTCGGAATCTTCAGTAAGTTCGATAGCCAACAGGTTTGTTAAAATCAAAATGTACAAAACG